GTCGTATTGCGTATTAAAAAGTTTTGCGAAATGGCCGGCGAAGAATAGAGGGTTGCAATTATATTGTTTTACTCGTGGAGCTATGGTATATTATATTTACTCCAAGGCATTGAGCATGACATAATAGAATGGTCAGGTGATTTCAAAATCTACTCTACACAAACAAATAGATAGAAATAACTAAGATCCTATCATATCCCAATATAATATAACACAATCATATAGATAGAAATAACTAAGATCCTATCCTATCCCAATCGCCGACCCCAGATGATGATGCTACACCCCACACCCGACCAGCGCGTGAGCATCCGCGAGGAGCTCCGCGAGCCAGAGGATCCCGCAGACATTGAGCGCGACATCAAGCTGATCCGCGAGTGGCTGGAGACGCAGCCCCACCTGCCCAAGGACATGGACGACATGCGCCTCACGACCTTCCTGCGCGGCTGCAAGTTCAGCCTGGAGAAGGTGAAGAAGAAGCTGGACATGTACTACACCATGCGCAACGCCGTGCCCGAGTTCTTTTCCAACCGGGACATTAATCGTGAGGAACTCAACATCGTGCTGGATTATGTGTGAGTACTTTAGTTGACCGATAAAATGAAATAAACAATTGCCATATACACACTATTATATTATATTTTGCTAAATTATTGTTGAAAAGTAATAGTAGGTCATGATCAAAATTAAATAGCCCTGCACATTTTCACGTGATTCGAAAGTGACTTATAAAATCCATATGGATTTATAATTTTAAATCACATATACTTTAATATTTGTGAATTCTTTAGAGATCCACTGAGTTATAAATTACTCTAGAGTGCACTCTTATTATATCTAATAAACATGGTATGTGTTATCACCATTTTCCTTTTAGACATTGCCCAACTCTGCCCGGGATCACGCCCAACGGACGCCGCATCACGTTCATCCGGGGCATCGATTGCGACTTCCAGCCCCACCACATCCTGGACGCCATGAAGGTGGCCCTGATGATCGGGGACGTCCGCCTGGCGGAGGAGAGCGTCGGCATCGCCGGCGACATCTTCATCCTGGACGCGTCGGTGGCCAGCGCCGCCCACTTCGCCAAATTCTCGCCCACCGTGGTGAAGAAGTTCCTGATCGCCGTGCAGGAGGCGTATCCGGTGAAGGTGAAGGAGGTGCACGTGATCAACATCTCGCCGCTGGTGGACACCATCTTCAACTTCGTGAAGCCCTTCGTGAAGGAGAAGATCCGCAGCCGCATCACCTTCCACAACGACGTGGAGAGCCTCTACAAGGTGGTGCCCCGCGACCTCCTGCCCAACGAGTACGGCGGCAAGGCCGGCAACGTCGTGGAGCTGAACCAGTGGTGGAAGCAGAAGCTGGTAGACAACACCCAGTGGTTCAAGGACCAGGAGGACAAGAAGGCCAACGAGTCCCTGCGTCCCGGCGCCCCCAAGACCAGCGACGATCTGTTCGGCATGGAGGGCACTTTCCGCCAGCTGAACATCGACTAGGGCCAAGGGGATCCAGTATCCACCTCCGGCGACCTCATCCAGCTTGTCTAACCGTTTATATTAGCCGCTCATTTGATTAGTCCAAGCTCGTGTGCATGACTCTTGCTTAATTGCTTCATTCTTTCGCCAGAACCCATTGTTAATCTATCTTTATATCACCAGTACATTGCAGTAATTACAATAATAAAGAACAGCAGCATATTAAGGAATGAATAAAAAATAAATTCAAGAAGTGGTTTTACAGTGGTGGTAAGGTTTGCCAATTAATAATCTTAGCAGACCCCAGGGATATGTAGAAAGATAGAGGAGGGCAACCCACATAGTGACGAAGCGCACCAGGAGAATTCGCGAAGGCAAATACTATATATACATGAAGACATTAAAACCTGCTGTGATGCTCCGTCGTAGCTAGTGATATATTAACCAAAGGAGAAAGGAAGACTTGGGAGAAAAAGCAGTAAAAGTGTAAAAGTTCGAATTAAGACAATTTTATCCGTTGGGCCGTTGGAGATAAATACTCCAGTTTATTAGCCTTATTGTATTCTTACAATTAAAAATTAACATCCACACTTTCGTTCAAAAGTTATACATGACTTAAACATGATTTTGGAAGACGTCAAAATTAAAATGTTATTTTGTTTGCACTTTGTCAGTTCGTCTCTGAACGTTTTTTAAGGTATCTGAAATCATTACTGACCTGTGGTACTTTAAAATTCTCAGCCGATCTCCGGTTTTCTTCTTGACATTTACGCAAAACTCAATTTTTTGCGTTTTGAAAACGACAAATTTGTTTTGCGTTATGAAGAGTAGAAGTTTTTTTAACCTAAAATCCTTCTTACTAGCATAAGAAAAAATATGGTTCATTTACATTAATTTGCAACCATGACAGTATACATTAGTGGCATATGTTCTTTATAATAAGATAATTCGTGACCCTTTTTCAAACTTTACCCCAAATATATTCCTAAGCAACCACAACTTTCGTTTTGTCAAAGGCCGATAAATGTATCGTCACATATACAAATAGCTGTCTAAGTAGAAAAAAGGTGAGAAAATGAAACATTCCGTTGACGCTACGATTACAAAAACTTTCCGAAAACCAGAGTACTATTTTCTAAAATCATTTCTTACCTTTTTTATTGCTCAAAAACGGCTATAGTTTTACGACTGTTTGAATTTTCAAAACGAAAGGTAACTATACCTTGCAGATGGGGTGGATTTAGCTTATTTCAATGTCGTAGTCGGGTTTGGCTATTTCGTATCGGCGCAGTGTGTAGAAAATGAAATGAAATGGAAACTGAAACAATTTTTTTAGTACTTACATACATTAAAATTTTTAACAGTATATTAACAGTATAAGATACCTAAGTATGGTAAAAGGTAGCCAATTTTTTGTACCCATAGGTGATTTGTACCTTGGTTAAAGTATCTAGTTATGTCCCAACACTGATTAAACCAACCAAATAGTAGGCTTTGAAAAAGTATTTCTGAAATCAGACCAACCAAGCCAACCGTAATCAAAACCTTCGATGTTTTCTGTGACACCTTCGATCAAATCATCAAATCCTCAAAATCATTGGATCATCAAAACACATAGCTATCGAATCATTGAATCAAGAAATCATCGAACCACCATTTACCAAATTATAAAGTTTTCGAATCATCAAATCATCGAATCACCATCTATATAGCATATAGCGCCCCTAGCTTGGTGCGGTAATAGTAAAAACAGCTGATTCGCTGCATGTGGTGCCCAATCTCGATTGATTTTGCAAAGTATTGATTATTCTTTGGTTAGAACTTTTTGATAAATGATATTAAAATTCCCACGGTATTATTAATAAAAACCAAATCTTATTTAAGTTTTTAAAAAACATTGAAAAATTTGGGCGTAGATTGGTTTTAGGGTAATGGGCAACAGCTCAAGAATCTATATGCCAAATCCCAACTTTCTAGCTTTTAGTGTTTACGAGATCTCAGCGTTCATATGCACTCAAAAAAAAAATCACCATAAATATTAGAAAATCGCCCGTGATTTCAAAACGCCATTGAATTAAGAAATATTTTCATGATTATAGAAAAAATGCCTACAATTTAAGGAATTCGCCATAATTTTTTTTTTTTTTTGTAATGAAGAAGAGGAAGAATCCCACTTTTTCTTCAATTAATGGCGAATTTTTCTTGATTTTTTTTCTTGAAATAATGGTAAATTCTTACTTAAATTTAGGAAAGAAATACCCATATTTTAAGAGAAAGTGACTTTTTTTTATACATTTTGATGGTGGTCTAGCTGGTAAAGACGTCCGGTCAATAAACAATCGAACAAAAGTACCTGGTTCGAGCCCACGCCACGGCAAGTGTACCCTTTGTTTATTTATTTTTCTTTTTTTTTTTAATTTATGTAATTTTTATTCTTATTAGTTTCGCTTTTCTATTTACCAAATTGTTTAAACGGTTGTTAAAAAGGTTTAGATTAGAATAAACGTTATTTGTATGCGTAAAGCTGGACCAAAAGCACCTTAGCCCTCTTTAGTCATTGTATGACAAGAAGCACGCGTGGCCGAATGGTTAAGACGTCTGGCTATGGTGTGAGCAGTTGCGGGTTCGAGTTCACGCCGGGGTTGTCTGAGGTAAGGATTTTTCCATTTGTTATATTTATTTATATGTTTATAAAAAGTATTTATATAAAACAAATCTTTAATAAATTCAGGTAAATATAAAAATTTTCAGACTGTAGTAATAATTGCCATTAAAATTAGAAACGGTTTTATCCATTTAAAATTCAACATTGGTATACAAAACCAACCAAATTCCTCAAATGTAAGGTGTAAAATGTAAAATGATGTAATCTTACATCATAAATATTTTTTTTCTTATTTTAATAAATTTTTCCTTAATTTTAAGGTTTTTTACCATACATTTAAGAAAAATTTGTCATTATTTCCAGAAATGGCAAACCATAAATTCAAGAAAATTATTTATTTAAAATAAAGGTGAGTCGCCGTTGGATGAAAATCATAGGCGATTTTCTTGATTTAAAGGCGAATTTCTTGATTTAAGGGCGATTTTTTTTTTGGGTGTGGACGGACGGACCATCATGTGAAATCTTTCACTTGACTTGAGCCAAATCAGGCGAATACGGAGGATGCGGATGCCTATATGGACTAATTTTTGACGAAATGGTCACGAAGAACGAGTGCATTGTGAGACGGTGCATTATCGCGATGATATTGTTCTGGCCTCTTTGAGCAAATTTCTTCACGCAAACGACGCATAACGCTCAAATAATATTACTTATTAACAGTTTGGCCGGGTAGGAGGAATTCATAGTGCACCACACTGCGAAAATAGAAAAAAAACTGTCATCGTGACTTTGATTTTGGAACTTTGACGTGCTCTTTTCGGTCTGGCCTTGCCTTCAGCACGATATTCGCTTGATTGGTCGGTTGTTTCGGGGTTGTTTCAAGCATTTGAGCTAGTCCTGATAGTCAGAAAGCATTGTTTCACACACATCAACGCGACGACTTTTGCAAGAAATTGAGCGCTTTCGGTCGTTAAATTGAAAAATGCACTCGTGGTCGTTGGTTAAACAACAAGCGTTAATATATTACTAGTAATGATATTGGCATTATATTTGGCCCAGATGTCATTAATAATCCTGCCAACGCAAGGGAAAAAGAACTAGCCCGAAACTTTAGGCCCGCGAAGTTTAAACTGAAAATTCACCTTTGTTTCTTGGCCACAGTACTAAAAATTCCATTTTTGAAACTAAAGGTAATCATAACGTGCAGATGTGGTGGATTTAGCTTATTTCAATGTCGCAGTCGGATTTGGCTATTTCTTATCGGTGCATTGGGGAGATTTGTAGAAAATGAAATGAAATGGGAATTGAAACAAATTTCTTTCAGTACTTATGTAAAGACCTTAACATTTTTGAAAGTCTATGAAAATCTGTACCTAGGAAAGGTAAAAGGTAGCCAATTATTTGTATACCAAGGTAAGGTAGAAAATACCACTAATTTAAACCTAGATACGTAAAAAATGTTTCTAAAATCAATCCAATTTTACTCCAAGCCAACCGTTTCCAAAACCGTCGACGGTTTCTTTGACACCTCTGACTAATCCTGATAAAGCGTGCCAGATAAAAAAAATTAGAAAGTGCTTCCATTTAATGAATCGTAAACTTTCGTCACAAAAGTTAATATCACAATCTTTGTATGTTGTAGGTTCGATCCTCACTAGCTCTTTACCTTGTTAAGAAGTGCTTTCGTTTGATATAAAGATCTTGAAAAAATATCTGTAGCAGAACTGCACCATCAGTATCACAGCTTAAGTAAATATAGTTTTTTTTCTTCGAGTATATGTACACTGAGGGAAAAACACCGTGCTTAAATTTAGTACAAACAGTCTTGATTTAAGAACGATTTCATGCTTACCAAAAAGGCTTACATTGTGCTCAATTTGGATTTAAATTTCTGTCAACTCCAAAAACTCCCAACTGTTTATTCTGAAAGTTCAAGGTATATGTATGAGGCGCATAAAATACACAGTGTTAATGTCCGTGAGTGACAAGTCAAAAGTTAACTTTTTATATTTATGTAATTTAAATTTAAACCGTTTAATTCATTTTCAGTTTCCAATACTTATTTCTCTTACTAGCATATAATTAAAACCTATTTCAATTTACAATATAGAAGAATTATTCGTCCTTAAATCATGCCAGCAACTTGCTCACTTTAATAATAAATAGTACTTGTCTTAAGTACAAAATGACTAGATTTCGGAATTATTCATAATTGATTGTAGATTGCTCTAAAAACTTACTGAAATCGATTATTTTTTGTCTTAAAAAATCGTAAAGTCCTTGATTTTATCTCTAAGTGTACATGTTTCGAGTAAGGTTTTTAGGTGGTGAGTTTCTTACTTCGAAACGAGAACACATCAAATTAAGGAATAAATGAATCAAGGGAAAATGTCGCTCTGTTCAACATGCAATGAAGTAGGTGAAGAATGGATGCCAAAGGAGGAAAACATTTCTCCACGAACGCCCCATTAAAATAATGACCCTCGGTGGGGGAAGAGGGCGTGGAGCAGTGAGTGCCCGATGCTTGATTGCATCTGCCACAATGCACCCAACGCACACAGGCAGACCCACATATTTCACCAGTCGCATGTCGCCACTTTGTGTGGAACATGCACATTCATCAGCGGAAAGGGAAACTTGTCGCATTTCTGGGGGCGGATGGAGCAGCCAGGACGGATTCCTCCCGGCTGACTTATTCCTTCGACATATTGGTCCCGTCCATTGTTGTGTGCGCATTTCGGCGTACGAAATCAAGTACTGCCAACATATCGCAGTCACGACTCCTCGGACATGGTCAACTGGGTTTCAATGTAAAGCGCCTTTTCCGACTCTCGAAGGCAGGGTTTATTTGGAATTGATGGCCCGCCAGCTGGGGAATTGTGTAGTCTGAATGGTCTGAATGGATGGGTGGCCAAGTGGCGTTATGATTTGTAAAGCCCACTTGCCAAACTTCTTAAAACTAACTGCACGTTTCCGTTGCCTAACTCCCATGTGAAAGTATCTTCGTCGAAATTCCATTTAATATTAATATCTAATTACTAAGCTACACAAAAAGTCCCAATTCTGTCTGTTTTCCTTAGTATAATCAAGCACTTTCCAAACTATACACCACTTAGTTACTAAAATAATAATATACTGGATCAAAGTGTGTAAGTATTTTTGTAGCCTTCTTTTTTATAAATATCGTTACTTAAACAAAACAAAAAGTTTTTAAGATTCTCAAGCGAAAACTTTTACATATTAAATTGTTCTGCCCATTATTTATTCATTTTATGATAATCAAAAAACAAATTCAGGTGTTGGCGGCTAGCGTTGCAACATGTAATTTAAAGTTTATTTAGTTGTGGGCCATATATTTAAATACTTTTCAGAAATTGAGACATGGGACGATTAGCCTATAAAAGACAAGCCCCAAAAGGCTTTGTTCAGAATAACTTCTTGATCGCAATGGAGAGCAAAGCCAAGAAAGATACGATTGAAGACGACTCCAAGCGCCGTGACCTTTTTGTATTTGTAAGACAAACCATGTGCATAGCGGCCATGTATCCGTTTGGATATTACGTCAAGGGATCTGGGATCCTGGCCCATCTGGTCCGAATCTGCGACTTGCTCTACGAATTCTTCAACTATTTTGTATCCGTGCATATCGCCGTTTTGTTCATCTGTACCATATATATAAATTACGGCCAGGGCGACCTGGACTTCTTCGTGAACTGTTTGATTCAAACCATCATTTATTTGTGGACCATTGCAATGAAGCTTTACTTCCGTCGGTTCAGGCCAGGATTGCTGAATGCGCTCTTGTCCAAAGTCAATGACGAGTATGAGCCACGTTCTGCTGTCGGATTCAGCTATGTCACAATGGCGGAGTCTTATCGGATATCCAAGCTGTGGATCAAAACCTATGTGTACTGTTGTTATATTGGCACGATTTTCTGGCTGGCCCTTCCCATAGCTTATAGGGATAAGAGTCTGCCGCTAGCCTGTTGGTATCCCTTCGATTACACGGCAAGTTGAATATTATAAATTATTAATATCGTTAAACTTAATTGTACAACCTTTAGCAACCCATTGTCTATGAGGTAGTGTTTTTTCTTCAGGCGATGGGACAGATTCAAGTGGCGGCTTCCTTCGCCTCCTCGAGTGGTCTGCATATGGTGCTTTGTGTCCTTATATCAGGACAATATGATGTGCTCTTTTGCAGTCTTAAGAATGTGTTGGCCACGAGCTATGTGCTAATGGGAGCCAATATGGCAGAGCTAAGGTAATTTTAAAAAATCACTTAGTTGGCAAAAACCTAAAAAGTACCGATTCCATAAAATGGATAACCTTCGTTTGTACGAAATGCGTAACACAAGAAAATATGTACCCTATTTTTTAACATTCTGCCTTTGCCTTTGTGCTTCACATCGAATTCTTCAAGTATGTACTTATGTAAAATTAAGTTATCCATTCACAGGCAATTGCAAGCTGAGCAATCTGTGTCTGATGCCGAGCCCAGTCAATATGCATATTCTCTAGAGGAGCAGACTCCTCTTCGAGAACTTTTACAACCAACTGCAGAATCCTCACGAGATTTTGCCACAGCTTTCCGGCAGTCTTTCATACACTGCATTCAGCACCACCGTTATATAGTGGCGGCTTTGAAGAAAATGGAGCGTTTCTACAGTCCTATATGGTTTGTGAAAATCGGCGAAGTCACCTTCCTCATGTGCCTGGTGGCTTTTGTCTCGACGAAGAGCACTTCGGCCAACTCTTTCATGCGGATGGTTTCCCTGGGACAGTACTTGCTCCTGGTACTGTACGAGCTCTTTATCATCTGTTATTTTGCGGACATCGTATTCCAGAACAGTCAACGATGTGGTGAGGCCCTTTGGCGAAGTCCGTGGCAACGACATTTAAAGGAGGTTCGCAGGGATTACCTTTTATTCATGCTGAATTCCCGTCGGCAGTTTCAACTAACTGCTGGAAAAATAACCAATCTAAACGTGGAAAGATTAAGAGGGGTAAGCTTAGTAACATTTTAACAAGCTGCTTGTTTCCTATAATTCAATCTATTTTCTAGACTATTACCACAGCCTTTTCGTTTCTCACCTTGCTGCAAAAGATGGATGCACGAGGATAGAAAATAGCAAAGGCTTGTTTTTAGTAAGATGAATGAGTTTAGTAATATCTTACAGAAACTTTTTTATACCCTTGCAGAGGGTATTATGATTTCAGTCAGAAGTTTGCAACGCAGAGAAGGAGACGTTTCCGATCCCATAAAGTATATATATTCTTGATCAGCATCATTAGACGAGTCGATCTAGCCATGTCCGTCTGTTCGTCCGTTTCTACGCACACTTGTCTCTGCTGAAACTTTCCCAATAGTCTTCTATGTTTTGCAGGTAGTATATAAATCAGAACCAGCCGGATCGGACAACTATATCTTATAGCTCCCATAGGAATAATAAAAAAAAATAAGTTAAAATTATATTTTTGGTGTTTTTTAACATATAAATAACATTTGGAAATAACATTTTTTAATTAGTTCTGAATTTCGAATTTAATTTTATCAAAATTGAACGCCGTATCATATAGCTGCCATAGTAACGATCGGAAAATTGGTGGGAAAATAATATGAAACAAATTATAGCTTCCATGTTTTTTGATATATTATCTTATACAATTGGGAATATCGTTTATTATATAATTAAATATGAAACAAATTATAGCTTCCGTGTTTTCTGATATATTATCTTATACAATTGGGAATATCGTTTATTATATAATTAAATTTTGAAAAAACCAGTCGACTCTAACATATAACTGTCAAAGAAACGGTCAGAAAAATAATGAAATAACTATTTTTAAAAAAAATTGATTTGGTCATTTTTACTCTGGGATATAGAAAATTTAAACTTCTCAGCATTACGAACTTAATTTTACAAATATCACTGAAGCTAGCAACAATCCTTATAAATGTAACATGGTTTACTTCTTATACCTGCAAGGGTATACAAACTTCGGCTTGCCGAAGTTAACTTCCTTTCTTGTTTTTCCTCTAATTATTCAATCTATTTTTAATACTATTACCACAGCCTTTCCTTTTCTCATGTTCCTGCAAAAGATGGATTCACGAGGATAGAGAATAGCATAGATTTGTTTTTAGTAAAAGGGGTGAGTTTAACAAAAATTATTTTTTTTTGTTATTAATATTTAATTTATTTTCTAGACTATTACCACAGTCTTTTGTTTCTCACGTTGCTGCAAAATATGGATTCACGAGGATAGAAAATAGCATCGATTTGATTTTAGTAAGAGGTGTGAGTGTAGTAATATCTTACCAAAAATGTTTTCTTTTCTTCTTATTATTCAATCAATTTTCTAGACTATTACCACAGCCTTTTCGTTTCTCACCTTGCTGCAAAAGATGGATTCACGAGGATAGAAAATAACATAGATTTGTTTTTAGTACGAGTAATATCTTACCAAAACTGTTTTTTTAATTATTATTCAATCTATTTTCTAGACTATCGCCACAGCCTTTTTGTTTCTCACCTTGCTGCAAAATATGGATTTACGAGAATATAAAATAAGAGGGGTGAGTTTAGTAATTTCTTACCAAAACAGTTTTTTTCTTCTTATTATTCAATCTTTTTTTCTATACTGTTACCGCAGCCTTTTTGTTTCTCACCTTGCTGCAAAGGATGGATTCTCGAGGATAGAAAACAGCATAGATTTGTTTTTAGTAAGATTATTTAAATGATAATTTTAAATAAATTATTAGAAATGGGTAGCGCATTTGAATACCTAAGCATTCAATAGATCTTTATTTGCTTCTTTCAATAATGGTTTCAACTTTGGCAATAACACTCTCTCGCAGTGCTTTACAGAAATATTTGACATATTGGATCTCTTCTGCACCGACATTTTCATAATACAATGTTAGGAAATGTTAAAAAAAGGCCGTCAGTGGAATATATACGGTAACTTATACTGAAAACGATTAGATGAATGGCATAACTTATCAAGTTTTAAATTTATTTTTTAAATTTTTTCACTAGTTTTATTTAAAGTTATAACATATATATTATTTTTGAATTAAAAAAGATATTCTAAAATCAAAGGATTTTGATATCATCATCTGATTTTGCTACCAAATTGAAATATGCAAAACTGTCGCTGCGTTCACCCTCATCAGTGGATGTATTGACCTAATTCTTAATTTTACAATAAGTCAATAAAATTGAGTTAGATAATTCATACCCCCGGAATAAATGCCTTATTGTAGTTCAGCGCACTTAAAACGGTCATTTGACCGCGTCGAATTTATTAAAGAAATTATACAAGAAATTGATGTGCTTGAGAGATAATTATCGACTCTAAAAGCAATTAAATCATATACATTTATAAGGTACTTGGGTTAACTCTTCAACTCCCTACCTCGCATTCGCTCCATCTCTCTTCTCGCGATGTGTTCCCCTCATTCGTGTTAACTACATTTGAGCAAGAAATTTGCTTAACAATTTGTTTTTTCTGGGTTTTGTCACAATTATGTTCACTTTCATAATATTGTGATTGGCATTTTGTACAGTATCAAAAATTTTTTGTTGCATGCTTTCTATTGCGGCCAAATACTACAGTTCTTGTTTATTTTTACATAACATGTACATTAGGCAAATGAACTAACACTTGCTTACAATTAGTTAATAGAGGCCCTTCAATTTGGTTTTTATAAAAATTTACATATTTTTCAGTTTTTCAGTAGACGAGTGTCCGAGAAAATCTCGGTTACAATGCTCAATACAGCAGGTTCCATATACAGTTGACAGTACATGCTTTGTAGACCGCCTAGATCAATTGTATTATTATCAAGTAATTATTATCAAAAAAATATATGTAGGTTTATAATTTATGTATCTTATAATCATTTCCCATTCCTATTTCCCTTCCTTAGCAACACGATTTCGATCTTTGTTTCATACTTTATATATAGATATATTAAACAAAGCATAACAAGGCGAGCAGCCACAACAACAGCAACAGCAACAAGGCAGACAGAGCAACAATTTGCAATTGTTGCTTATTTTGATAAATGCAATGAGTATGCTGTTGCTGTTGTACCCGCTGATGCTCCGGTGTTTGCTGTACATTCCCCTTAAGGTTCCTTGTGCTGTAATCTGAGTATATGGCATTTCTCCTGCATCGAATGCCGTTGCCCACTTTGGCCAAAAGTTGTTGCTGCTGCTGCTGCTGGTCCTGCGGTTGCTGTCGTGGCTCCTTGCTGTTGCTATTGCTGTTGACTAGTGGGAGTTGACTGCGCCGCTAGCTGGCGTGCGCCGTACTCGTGCTGTTGTCGTGGTTGTAGTGCTCCGTGTTTACAATCACCTGCACCACGTATCCCTGGTGTATGCTGCACTCATCGATGGGCACCTTGTCGCCCAGCAGCTTGCCACTATAGAACCATCGCTGGCAGCAGGCGTCGACAGCCTCGGCGGCCTGAAAGAATGTTAAATTGGATCTCAATATTTTGAATCCCAAATATATACTAAAACCAAAGCAAAAACTTCAAACATGTTAAACATTTACAAGCTGTAAACTTATTCATGTAGTTATTCCATATATTGGAAATAACAATCGATAAATAGTTGGACTGCTGGACTCACCTGAAGCTTCTTCTTGCACTGCCCCACGGTGTCCTTGGAGTACACCGGTAGTTTAACATCAGTCATGGTCGATGATATGCGCAGCTTCAGAAAGATCTCGGTACCGCCATCCACTGGCTCAGAGTATTCGGCAGGCGAGTCGCGTCCGTTCTCCTCCTTTACGATATTTATGGGATATGACAGACAGTAAATGGGCACCTTGTACTGGGTGCCCAGCTCATCGTAACATTCTGTGAGGTATCTGCGAAAAGTAGAGTCGTTAGTAACCAGGTGGGCCATCCGCTATCACTATCTTATCGGAAATCCCCAGCCAGCCCAAAAAAAATTTGTCACTTTATTGAGCCTAATGCTAATGATTCAATGCCAAGTGGGCCAAGTCTGATAAGGCAAGAGATATCAATGGAATTACGTAGGGAGCCCTCATCAAGGACACTGGTGCATGCAACGCCGAAAGTGGTGGAAAGGTCAGCGCTGCACTTAAATAAATATGGTCTACAGTCCGAGGAAGTGCCAGAGTGTCAGTCAAAAATCGATGTCTAATAAAAACGTTACCGCGAGAAAGTTGTGGTGTGTGGTCGACGGTTTAAATACTCTAAGCATTGAGTACTGAGTTTCACTCAAGTGACAACTGTAAATGTAATTTTAACAAATATTTCCTTTTCAAAATTTTGTTTTCAATTAAAAATTAGCTTACTTTAATGTCTTTTATATTTTTCATTCAGCATTAGAGCATACTCCTTTGAGCCTTGCTATTTCTAGTACGTTTTTTTACTCTCCTGACGGGCTCATCACAAATTTATGATACCCTCGGGTCTCCACCAAAGGACCCCAGCAAATCGCTGTCATGCATTAATGGAGTTATGGCCATGTGAAATCACTATATACATTATTGATTTTCTAGACGATGGCAATTAGCATGCCGTGTCATTAGGGACTTTGTCGGATTTGTAATACAAATTAGAACTATCTGAATGTCAAGTTCAGTGTAAATTATGCGAATGTTATTATGCCAAGTTAAATGCAATTTATGTAATAATAGTCTGAAAAACTATAGTTTTTATATCTTTTAAGAGACTTTGGAGACCGTTCGACATAAATGTGTTTCCTTACGAGATCGCACTATATTGATTTAAGGTTAGATACAAAAGAACTTTTATACCGGAAGTTTCAAACTGATATATTAACGCGAAACGTTTCGAATCACCCCAATATCGAATCCTTTGACTCGAGTACGACCGAACCGTCCCGGTCTAATTTGTCAGGACCAACTCACCCATTCGGAACTGAGACATTGGCCCCGTCCAGGATGGCCTGCGCCATCTGAAAGTCAAGGCCCTCGGCCGCGTTGGTGGCCGCCCGCAGCGCATCCCAGATCTCCTTGCGGCCATCAAAGGCGGGCGCCGTGTCCCAGAACTCGTCCCTCTTGGACCTCAGCTGCCCCTCGGTGAGTGGGACGTCCGATCGCCACCGGATGGTCTCGTGGCAGAGCGGTCGGTTCTTGCGCGCAGCGCCCATGGCGATGCCTAGAGTAGGTATAGGTACACGGGCTGTATAGACGGATGTATAGGAGGCATGGCGAAGGCCACTCACCTGCGCTGGCCGGACGCGAGATGCTCGCCGAGGAGACGCTCATCGTCTCGTTGTCGGGGTTCGCGCGACACACACAGGCGCCCATTGTCACACTCAGCTCCACTCCGCTCCGGTAAGAAGGATCTATCAGGCGAAATATGTACATATATATGCGTACACTCATCCGTAGGTCACGTATGTACGTACACCAGTTCCGGAAAGTGGAAGTCTCGGAATCTGGGAATATCGGATACTTACCTCCGCCGCGCACAGCCGCCTTGTTTGCCTGCTCGTCTATATTACGTACGCCTTATTTTTGTGCTCAGTTATCGGGTAGGCTGTTTATTTCTATTATTATTGCTTGTGCTGCTTTCTGCCTTTTCATTTATTATTTTATTTGTGCGACAGGACCAGTGTGACCGCAGCCGTAGCGCCAAAATACGACGCACTGCGACCGAATGTCACTAAAATATGCCAGGGAGTCTTCTGAAATATACCGAAAACGATATATCGTAAGTAACGGTGGGTTTATATTTTCCGAAAAATAGGAAAATGTATAATGGAATTGTTAAAAAGTTGGTCACCATTTATTTGTAATAGTTTTCTGGCCCTATTGTGTTAAATATCTGTGTTTTCCAATTAAATTATTAAATTTTCTCAGATTATTTGTTAAAAACTGTGATTTATGTACATGTGATTTTTGCAAGTGTAACGAAATTTAAAAGTGCACTTATTTATATATGAACTAGTTCCGGATATATGCTCCTTTTTTCTTTGGTATTTTTTCGATTAATGCGTTTATAATGCTAGGTTGTACAATCGGTATTTTTTAAATTTAAAATTGTGAAAGCATAAATTGTTACACCGTTAAAATTTATAAGGTACAATCTCTTTGAAACATTAACTATCGTATACCTTTTCAAAACTGAAAATATAAACAAAATACCAAAGAAAAATGCTTTTCAAATGATTTTCAGACTAATCAAGTTTTAAGCATAGTTTACTCCGATGTTGCTACTTTCCAGGCTACAACAACGGTAAATGCAAGCGAATTTAAGCGTCAATTACTTCCAGCTGCAGAGCGCTCTCTCCATTTTGGAGCTCTCGCGCTCTTCGATCGGAATATTGGAGCAGCATTAATAAAAAGACGCCAACAGAAAGCGGCAGAAAGAAAAAAACCAGACGACCTCGACCAAAGTTGTCGCAAAAACAAAAGAAATAAAGGCATGCAAATTAAAATCCAACACACATGCAGTGTGGAAAGGAGTAAGTTGACTGAAAAAAGGTGGTGAAAGAAGAGAAAGAAGGTAAACCACTTCTGACTACTGGTTACTTTAAGACATTTTTACCATTACTTTTAAACTATATTTGGAATGTTAATAAAATTAATCCAAAAAAATACATTTCCTACTATTTATCTAACTATGTAGTCTGCACTTTCCCAAAATTCACGACTTCGAATTTGAAAGGATATAAAGCACTATGTTGGGCAAACGCACAATTATTTCGAGGACCCACTACCAACTTGGTTAACCGTTACCACTCACCACTCGAAAAACGAGTAAGAAACAGGCAGTGGTCCCCGTA